CTCCCAGATCCTCTGTTCTTATAATTTTATTCTGTTCTTGACTCTTCCATTTGTCGACTGAGTTCATGTTGATGCTGCCATGTACGTCATTAGTCTTTTGTATCTGTGCTTAAATTTTCTCCTAAGTATTCATTCCATCTTTTGGGTGGCAATTGTAAATGGTATTGTCCTCCCAGTTTCCTTTTCAGAGCTGTCTGTATTAATATAGAGCAATCAACTGATTTTTGTATACAGATCTTATATTCTGTCACTTTGCTGAATCCTTCAATGAGTTCTAGAAATTTTCCTACTGAGACTTTGGCATTTTCTGTGTGTAAGATCATATCGTGTGCAAATACAGTTTTACTTCTTTGTTGATTTGGATGCCTTTAATTTCCTTGTCTTGCCATATAACCCTGGCTAAGGCTTCCATCATAGTAGGAGTGGTAAGGAAGAGCATCCTAGTCTCATTCCTGTTTACAGTGTGAATGGTTTCAGTATCTCTCCATTGAGAGCAATTCTGGATGTTAGATTTGTATATATGCCTTTATTATGTTGAGGAATTTCTGTTCATTCTACTTTGGTGAGTTTTTTTTATCAAGGATGAGTGTTGGATTTCTTCAAATGCCTTTTATGCATCAAATGATGTAATCATGTAGTTCTTTCCCTTTATTTATATGCTGAATTATGGTGAGGATTCTTCTAAAATTGAACCATCCTTGTAACACTGGGTAGAATACCACTTGGTCATGATGTATAATTTTATTGGAAATGTTGCTGAATTCTACTGGCTAGAAATGTCCTGAGAATTTCTGCATTTATGTTCATGAGGCATGTTGTTGTTAAGTGCATTTCAGTCGATTACAACTCAAAGACTCCATATATGGTTCCCAAGGAGCAGCTGGTGAGCTTGAACCACCGATCTTGCAATTCACATTGACCTTTCAGTCCAGCACGTTAACCCACAACCCTGCAGCAGGACTCCTATGATGATGGTGGTCTATAATTTTCTTTTTTAGTAACTTCCTTGCCTGGTTTTTGTATAAGGATCATGCTTGTTTCCTAGAACATATTCAGAAATTTTCCATTCTTATCCATATTCTGGAATAGTCGGGCCTTCTCTGAAGCTTGGTAAAATTTACCAGTAAAGCCATCTGGGACCGACTTTTTTTGTTGGGAGTTTTTTGATCACCTGATCAATTTCTTCTTTTATTGTAGTTCTGTTCAAGTATTCTACTTTAATGTGTGTTAGATTAGGTAGGTCATGGTTTTCTATAGAGTTTTCCATTTCCTTTATGTTTTCAAATTGGTTAGAGTACAACTTCAGAGAATTCTGTTATTTTCTTTTTTATTTCCATTGGCTCTGTTGTGACATCACCCGTATGGTTTCTTATGTGTGTTCTATGCATCTTCTTCCTGTTTTATTAGATTTGCCACAATGATTTGTCAGTTTTATTAAGTCTTTGAAAGAAGCAACTTCTTGCCTTGTTGATTCCTTCTGTTTTGTTTGTTTCTGCTCTAATGCAGGCTTACTTAGTTGGTCTTTGTCTAATTGAGCTGCTGTGTTAATGTGTTCATTGTCCCGCTGAGCCTTGCTGTTGCTGGATATACTGTGTTTCATTCTCATTGGCTTCTGGAAATTTTTAAATATAGTTTCTTGGTTTTCAAGTTTTTTTTTTATTTAAATTGTGGATTGAGTGAAAGTTTACAGGGCGTATCGTCAGTTTTGCATTCAACAAATCATGCAACATTTTTCATCACAAGATTACATTTCCCTTCATGTACCATCAGTAACAGTATTTCTCTCTATTCACTTTAGTTCGACTAAAAAAGAACAAAAACAAAACTCAGGCATATATAATCATTTATACCACCAAAGGGCACGTTCTGTAAGTCTGCCTAATGGCCACCGTCTCTTACTCCCTCTCTTCCCATGAATCTAGAGTCCTCAGCTGCTCCCTCTCTCCGTGTCCCCATCTCTGCCTTCTGCTCTGGTGTTGCTGCTTCTCTGGATAAGGTCCCTCATTCCACTTGTGCTCTTCTCCCTCGATGGTCCTAGGATCCTTTGTTTCTGGACTGAATGATTAACTGCTCCACCATTTTTATTACAAAACTTCTGCCTTTACAATTGTGACAGTCGCAATTAGTCATGATAACAGTTACTATTGTATCATGAATCTTATCCCTGTCTCTTTTTTTTTATAATGTTTTTATTGTGGATTGAGTGAAAGTTTACAGGGCAGTTCATCAGTTTTACATTCAACAAATCATACACCTTGTTTCATTACAATGAGTATAATCCCCTCCATGTACCATCAGTTAACAGTATTTCTCTCTATCCACTTTAGCTTTATTTTATTTTTTTTAAGTTTTTTTGTGAATTACATGACAGTTTACATGGGAGAACATCAGTTTTTACATTCATCCTATCGTATATTGTTTCATTGCCATGATTACAATCCCCTCCACACATCACCAATCAAGGAAAGGGTACATCCTATAAGCCTGCTTCTCCCTCCTCACCCCCGACCCCTGGTCGTCAGCACACAGCCCCTCTCCCTCCCTGGTTCCTGAGTCTCCAGTTGCGCTCTGATCATCCAGTCATTGAAGCCAGGTTAAGTGCGTATTATCTGCAAGTGTGGGTGTTCTTATGCATGTGCCCTCTCTTCTTATCAGCTGGACGCTTCACTCTCCACTCTAGTCCTCTGTGGCTATGTCACTGACTCTGGGCCCAAGAGTCCCCAGGTCTTGCCACACTGCTGGCCAACCAAGTCTCTTCCCAGGTTCACAGGATGCTATTGAACGTTGTATAGCTTAGATCGCAGCTTCCTTGCTGTTTTTCCCTCATTTCCCCTTTTCATTGACGAACAAGGTCACCAATCAGAGCATGTGTTCCCATTGAGTCTTAGTCTTAGAAGGGGGTTTACTCTGAGGGGACCCCGATCCATTGCCTTGATTTCTCCTGGGTGGGCAACATACTTGTTCTTGTAGTAATCGGTCGGTCTGCCCACTAGATTGAGAGATTTATCTTCAAGTTTTCTAATCTGGCCTCCACTGATTCAGTTCTGCTGCTTTGCCCGTTGTGTGTGCTGTGCATATCTGATATGTTAGTGGTCATCATCTGAAGTTGGTTTCCAGGTTTTGGGTTGTTTCCAGTGCTTTGATTGTTCCTGTGGCACTTTTCTGAATTCCTCCTTGGGAATTCAGTGAAACGTTCGGCTGCACCTCAATATCATTCTCCTGAATTTTTTCCCAGTACTTCCAGTACCTCTGCTCCCTGAAAAGCATTTTCTAGCTCTTCCTCTTAGTCGTTTGTTTGAACTACTCTGTTTCTCTTTTCTCTGCATGTGGACAGAAGTGTTCTGCTGCTTTGTAGGCATTGTTGTATTGTGTTTGTAGAATGTATGTTGGCATAGTCTTAGATACTCAACAGTAGCCCCCCGGTGGGTGTGATCCACACATACCTTTCTCGATTCACTGTTTGAACACTTCAATGCAGAATGAATTTAGTGGCTGTTTGTAGTAGTTGCTGCTCTGGTGTATAGCATGTGCCCAATTGGTGAGGTTGTAAGGGGTATGGCTGTAGCTTGTATATATGAGCACATTTTCTGTCTCTGGTTGTGTGAGGCAAATAAAGAAAACACTTCCCACAAGATAGATGGAGGACAAAGAAACAAAATTTGATATTGAAATCAAAGACAGTGTGAAAACAATTAAATGGAGGGGTAAAATAATTTCAGAAGCAGCGGGATATTCAGAGTAAATCTTTATCACCACCTAACAGCCTCTCCTTGACAGCTGTCTGAGACATTTTAAGAGGATCCTGCTGTGCCTCTCTCACCTAGTACCAGCTTTTCTTCTGTTTCTCTCCCATTGTTTCCTCCCCTGGAGCCCAGTCGGCTGCTTCTCCGAGCGATAACTCTCTCAGCATTGACCAAGACCAATTTGAAACAGAGTCCGGTGGAGGTCAGTTTCTGTTGTCTCCTCCCCTTCCAGGGTCCCCGTAGAACCTTCAGTGGTGATGTCTACTCTTACAGGTCTTACCTCTGGTCACCAGAGAGGATCTGAGTAGAAGGAGGAAAAAAGAAATAATCACACCTTTTTCTCTGTGAGTCTTAAGTTAGCTTCTCCAACAGGACCGGCGTCTTGTCTCACACCTGTGTAAGATGACTCTTCTGTACTTACACATGTAGTTGAGCTGAATTTTTTTTTTTTAACTTGCCCCATGTCTTTTGCGTTTACCTGAAAAAAGCCTTCCCCATTTCCTCTTTCTATGTTCCTTCTCATGCAAGCATTGTTTTGCAATAACTTTGGATTTTGTACTGATGGTTACATCTTCGTTTGCTCACCATCCTTCTGAATCATCATGGAAATGTTCTCAGTGTATTTCCTATGCTTTACCCTTTACGAAACACTTGAGTACCCAAATTCTTCACAATTTCTGCCTCTCAGGTGCCTTGTCTGTTACTAAATTCTGTTTGTGTTTTATTTTTAGTTTTTGAAAATCTATTCCTAATGATAGTTTCAGTCTCTCAACAGGGTAATAATGGACAAAAAGTGTGCAGTGAACTTAAACTAGCGAAATTGATGAACAATGATGCTTGGTGGTTCACGTCAGGAGAAATCTGTGAGTTTCATGGCAGTGAAGATCACAACAACCAGGATGGACGTACCAGGTATCTTACCCATGACATTAAATAGTGTCCCATGGGACAGCCTCAAGATGACATCACATTTATGTGCCTCTTTTAGTGTGTGTTTATAGATATATCTAAAATTAGCTCTACATGTGTGCCTACACCTAATTTTCATGATTCAGGAATTTCCAATAAATGTGAATCAGGTACTGAGTATTTGAGACATCCCACTTGTCCTCGTTACCAGTATTTATTTTGGAATGTGGTGACAATAATGGTAGTACCTTACATGTGACGATTTCACCTGTGCAACATGAGACAACTTTGGACAAATAATGCACATTCATTGTGTATGGTAGTTTTGAAATGATAGAAAATGTAATTATAACAACACACTCCCTGTTTTCAACAGAAAATATATGGTAGAGAGCTGCTGTGCAAATAAAGAAGATGAAGTGAACATGTGTGAAGAAGGTGATCAAAGTGCCTGCTCTGAGGCAAATCATCGGAGCCTCAAAGGAATTAACAGAACTGAGCTTGGAGTGAATCCTTTTGACTTTCATGAGGGAGGTAATTATAACTTTAATCATCCAATCAGATCTCACCCTGAATATAAACCATACCAGTATAAAGAACATAGAGAAACCTGCTGTTCTCCCTCTTACATAAAACATCATTCAAATACTGTTAATGGGGAGAAAGTTTGTAAATGTGAGGATTGTAGGAAACCCAAGGATAATTGCTCATCCCTCACTAAATACATGAGACGAACTCCCAGTGAAGAGAGGCCTTATGAATGTAAAGAATGTGGAAAAGCTGTTAGTCTACACTTATCATTAACTCACCTTCCAAGTACTCATAGTGGAGAGAGGCCTTATGATTGTAGGGAACATGAGAAAGCCTTTTGTCATGCCACAGCCCTCAATAAGCATATCACAATTCATAATGCAGAGAAGCCTCTTGAGTGTGAGGGATGTGGGAAATCCCTGTATCTTCCCACACAGCTCACTCAACATAAATTAACACACAGTGGAGAGAAATCTTTTAAGTGCAATGACTGTGGAAAAGCCTTTAGTCACTCCTCAACCCTCAGTGCACATAAAAAATCTCACAGTGGAGAGACACCTTATGAATGTAAGGAGTGTGGGAAAGCCTTCACTTATGCTGCAGCCCTGACTAAGCATACAAAAATTCACAGTGGAGAGAGGCCGTATGAGTGTAAGGAATGTGGGAAAGCCTTTATTACATCCTATAACCTCACTCAGCATATAAGAACTCACAGTGGAGAGAAGCCTTATGAATGTAAGGAATGTGGGAAAGCTTTCACTCGGTCAGACATCCTTACTAAACATATCCGATCTCACACTGGAGAGAAACCTTATGAATGTAAAGAATGTGGGAAAGCCTATCGCTACACCTCACAGCTCTATGAACATACAAGATCTCACAGTGGAGTAAAGCCTTATGGATGTGAGGAATGTGGGAAAGCCTTTCATCTTCAGACACAGCTCAATCAACATAAGAGAACACACAGTGAAGACAGGCCTTATGAGTGTAAGGAATGTGGGAAAGCCTTCAAATACTCCTCAGGCCTCAATGTGCATAAAAAAACGCATAGCGGAGAGAAGCCTTATGAATGTAATGACTGTGGAAAAGCATATCGTCACTTCTCCCACCTCTCTGCCCATAAACGATCTCACAGTGGAGAGAGGCCTTATGAATGTAAGGAATGTGGGAAAGCCTTTATTACATCCTACAAACTCACTCAACATATAAGATCTCACCTTGGAGAGAAGCCTTATGAGTGTAAGGAATGTGGAAAAGCTTTCACTCGGTCAGACATCCTTACTAAACATATCCGATCTCACACTGGAGAGAAACCTTATGAATGTAAAGAATGTGGGAAAGCCTATCGCTATACTTCACAGCTCACAGAACATACAAGATCTCACAGTGGAGTAAAGCCCCATGGATGTGAGGAATGTGGGAAAGCCTTTCATCTTCAGACACAGCTCACTAAACATAAGAGAATACACAGTGAAGACAGGCCTTATGAGTGTAAGGAATGTGGGAAAGCCTACAAATCTTCCTCAGGCCTTAATGTGCATAAAAAAACACACAGTGGAGAGAAGCCTTATGAATGTAATGACTGTGGAAAAGCCTTTCGTCACCCCTGTAACCTCAATGCCCATAAGCGATCCCACAGTGGAACCAGGCCCTATGAGTGTAAGGTCTGTGGGAAAACCTTTACTTATTCTGGAAACTTCAAAGTACATCTAAGATACCACAGTGGAGACAGGCCTTATGAGTGTAAGGAGTGTGGGAAAACCTTCATTCAGTCCTCACACCTGATTGTACATCAAAATATACACAATGGAGAGAAGCCTTATATATGTAATTAACGTGGGAAAGAACGTAATTTGCCAGTGTGGGTCAGAATTCCATACTTCTGTTAATCAACATTTAGAAGAGACAAATACCTCATTTTTAAACATAATTTCTTTGCTTTTCAATACACTTTCCATTAGTCAACAAGCTTTCATAGTCCATGTTTAAAAAATATTTTCTGTTAAACGGCAAGCCACAAATTCACTTCTCTTTTCATTTCATCAGAGGTGAGAATATTCATCCTCTAAGCACTGCTTTCTGGGGACCAAGCAGGTGAAAGTCCAGTGGTCCTGGATTGGTTCTATACTGAGGATGCTTTAGCTCCTCAAAATGAAGTTTGCACAGAGTGTCAACAGTGAAGTCAAAGTTGTGGGGACATGAATTGTCATGCAAGATGACAATGCCCTTGGATAGCAGTCCTCTGTGGAAATCTGTAGTTTAGACTTCAGCTCTTCAGTCAGCATCTCAGCACAAGGACCACTGTTGATTGATTAACCTTTTCGCTGATAGTGTTCCAGTAGTAGCCCTGAGAGTTCCAGAAACTAAATAACAGTTATCAGCTGCTGGTTGACCTTTGAACTTATTCTTGGTGGACAATTGAGGACACTTCTCTTCCATACTTTGCTGTTTACTCTCAGGTTCCTGGTGATGAATCTGTGTCTCATCACCAGGAAAGATATTTTTAAAGACTCTTTTACCATCAATTACCGGTCTGGATTTTGTTTTCAGATGTCCACGTTCACAACGGCACAGTACTGACCTTGAGAGGAAAGTGTTGATAAGACATTGCAGCCAGCAGAAGTTTTTATATAGCCAGAGCACGAATCATGCATTGTTGCACATTCATACAAAATTTCACAGTAGAGACAGACGTTCAGAATATAAGAAATACGGTCAAGTCTATTTGCCTGGCGACATCCCTCATTGCAATAAAAAGGAACACACCATTCAGAGAAACCTTGTGGATGCAACGAATATGGGAAAGTCTTTCCTGACTCCTTGTCCCTCAGGGCACAAATGACATCTCATCATGAAATAGGCCTTAAGTATGCAAGGCGTCCAGTAAAGCTTTTATACGGTGCTTAGATCTTCTAAACGAACACACAGTAGAAGTTTTATAAAATTACACACATGGCCAAACCTCTAGTGAGTTCTCAACACAGAGACTCATAGTGGAGGGAGGCCTTATCGGTAGAAGGAATAGCGGGAAACCTTTGGCTTATTGTCAGAGCTCAAATGGCATATAAAATCGCACAGTGCAGAGATCCATATGAATCTCAGCAATGTTGCAAATACTCTGTCACCCCTCTAGTCTGGCTGGATATATAAGAACACCTGGTGGAATGGGGTCTCGTGAATGTACGAGGGAAATTCGTCGTTTTTCCTGTAGCCATTTGAAGATAGGTGAGAGGATTCAACCAAAAGAAAATACATGGGTCATTTCTTTAATGATTTGCTTCTTCCCAATTTCAGCTTTTCTGACAGCATTTCTCTTCAATTGGATTGATCTAAAAGTTTTAAATGTTGTTACATTGAAAAGCCCTATAATGTAATTTTCAGACTCATAACAATAAAATCATTCCCATAAGGTAAGGACAGAATAATGCTTCCTCCCAAATAATCATAATGCTGCCCTTTCTCACACAAACTTCCCCTCAGTGTGAATTTCTGACAACAGTTTACTAGTCATTCAGTTGATGGCTTTTAGATTCGAATCCTTTGTTTTCAGCATCATGGGTTTGAAGTTCTCTCACATTGATGAATGTAACCATAGCTGCTTTTTTGTTGTTCCTGTGAAATATTGAATTCTATACTTAACTTTTTGTGTATTTACCACTGGAACAGTGTTTTTGTGTACTATTTTGGTAATAAAACAGTTGTAAATACAAGTTTTTATTTGAATATAAGGTTTCCAAGTTCCTGTCTGTATGCTTTTGAGTGAGAATACTGTGTCATACCAATCAGGCTGTGGCTGCTACGAGGGTGCTATGGTCAAAGTGTGTTGGGAGATTTAGCACACCTTTCTATGCTACTGTGTTCAGGCGATTTGCTGGGCAGGTCACCTGATTGTCACCCATTTCCTGAGGAATTGGTGAGGAAAGTTTCATTTAGATTAGGCCACAGGCTCAAGTGTATTTGTTTGAATGCTGTACCAGCACTGCTCAAGTTGAGAGCTGGACACAGGTTGTGATTTCATGATAGTGCACCAGCACATGAGCCCATCACTGGAGTACCCCCGTGGAGGATATTAGGTACCAAGGGAAGCCCGAAGAACCTAAGTAGTGACCACACAGGAACAAGAAAGAAGACTTCCTTTTTCCAGTGTCCAACATGTACTGAGAACTGACCAAGAACAAATATAAGGCCCAGTTCTGTTATCAAACATTAGGCAAAAGGGATACTAGCAGAAGCATAAAATAGAGACTCAATATAATGGCAAGATGTGGGTTTGTCTTAGGTTGGTTTCCTATGAGTGACAGAATTCCTAGCAACACCCAAATAGAACATGCTGTTGCATCAGACTGTATACCTAATTTCTTGAGGAAGAGAATCAGCTTCAACCATAACATGGTTTCTATTACCGGAGTTCACGCGTATCCTCACTTTCCTATCTTACGATTTCTGACACGTGTCACTCCTGTCACGGCACAGTTCCTCTACTGGGTTTAATATTTTGTTGAAATGACCATCGAATACTCACAAATGTGGCTCATGATTATTTGTTTTATTCAGAAAGTAACAGGTTACAATTAGGGATCTGAATCAATATGGAACTAACAGGGAAAAGGCTGTTGTTTTTCATGAGAAAGTAATTATTTTAAAATTTTACCATTCTGTCTTGTGTGTGCTTCATCTTCAACACAGGCTTTAACTACTGGCCCTCCATTTCTGTCTTTCACATTTTAGTCAGCATAATTAGTTGGCAGGAGCTATATTAATTAAGGAATTAAAATTGAAGAAATTGAGACATTAATCAAAGAATTGAAATAAATAAATGAGACACGGGGACCCTGCGCATGAAGAGCTCATTGTTCTAGCAAAGCGACAATGAAGTGTTTTCCTTGGAGAGCAGAGCTACAAGGAAGAAATATTCTATGCACAGGCCACTAGTTAATTTTTCTCATTTTGAATCATTCTCCAATTTATTCATGATTTTATTAGCATCCCTTTACTTTAGATTTTTGACTCTCCTACACTTTAGTATATTTTTATTAAAAGTTAGAAGCCATATATTAGCTACATTTTACTCTACTTGTAATCGTAGGTAGTTTTTACTTATATTAACAATGTTCTTAAGACTGCTAGGAGACAGGATTTGTCAGTTGAATTACTACCAGTTTAGGCTTAGTGATTGTAAACATTCTTCCTTGTAGCCTTAGTTTGGGACAATAAAGAATCCTTAAAAGCAACTAGGCCATAGATAAAGGCTATGGGTATATACATACGTAAATAAAGAGTTTGACTTAGATGTTCTTAAATTAATGAACAATAAAATAGAGAAGTTTTTCATAGCCTCAGTTTTTAAATGTTCTAATAAGTGATATTTTTGTAGGCTATAAACAGAGTATGGAAGAAGTCAATGGAGAGTTAAATGCACCCAACAGCTAGAATTGAGAGACTCAATGGATAGAGGTTAAGAAACATATGTAAAGGTTAACTTGCTTCTCAGAGAAAAGACTAGAAGTTATTTATGTAAGAACAAATGTTTTAACTAAAAGGTTTCAAGGCACCAGTATGTCTCTAGTATGTGTTGATGTAATGTTTCTTTGCTGTAACTTCTTGTCCCTGTTGTAAATCTAAGGGTCATAAACCATGAAGAATGTGCCCCAGAATAGATTGCATTTTGAGGACATTGATTACTATGAAAACAATGTTTTTTTTTAACGGTATATAAGGGGGTTGTAAGATAGAATAAGGAAGGAGAAATAAGAGGGAAAATGAACATTGCCATGCTGCAATGAGTGTCGATGACGGGTAAGACGGAGGAATTCGCACTGACCGCCTGACAGGCAGCGTCCCTTAAACAAATAATAAATAAGGGGGAATCTGTGGCAGACAGTGCAGACCCGGTCAGGAGCTCAAGACCCTGTGGGCCCAAGCGTTGCTGACCATCCAAACCATAGGCTCTGAGGATCAGACTTTGGTCACCTAGCAGACATAGCAAACTGGCCCTCATTTGATTATTCAGTATGCTTGCTAGTAATCTCATACATGAGCCCTGGATATCCACAGACAAATGTAAAAACCTTCCCTAGAAGCTGAGACGATAAAGTCCAAAAAGGCAAAGTTTTTCCACCACCCCCCCTCCAAAAAAAAAAAAAGCTAAAGAGGATAGAGAGAAACACTGTTAACTGATGATGTATGGAAGGGATTATAATCAATGTAATGAAACAAGTCATATGAATGGTTGAATGTGAAACTGATGTTGCGCCCTGTAAACTTTCACTCAATCTACAATAAAAACATTAAATTAAAAAAAAAAAAAAAAAGAGGGAGAATGGAAGTAGAAGAAGGAAGAAGTAGAGGTAAGTAGAGGAAAAGAGAATGTGGTAGAATGGAGTAGAGAATGGAGGTAAAGAGTGAAGGGGAGAGTGAAGAGTAAAGAAAGAAATGGAAGGCAAATAGAGAAGGAGAATGAAAGAGCAGAAGGTAAAAGGAGAAAGGTAAAGCAGAAGAGGGGGGAGTAAAGAAAGAAGGAGATTAAAAAAGCAGGAGGAGAGGGAAGAAGAAGGGAAAAGCGGGAGAGGGGGAAGGAGGGTAAAGAATGAGAGAAGAAGAATAAAGCATGTAAGAAGATTTTGGTCTTTTTCTGCCGTCGCCCGCATCCGCCTTCGGGTACCCTGGAATAAATTTGCTGGGGCTGGCTCCTGGCAATTAGTGCATCTTGATTGCATATTGGTTAATTTAGTAACTGCAAATAAGGGAAATCCTCAATGTCTTCATCTTTAACATTTGTGTTCGGTGTTTAGATTTGAATAATAGTCATACTGTATTTTTGGTAAATGTATGGATG